TTGTTACGGAGGAGGGGGAGGGGTGGGGTTAGGACGGGACAGTTCTTCACGTTCTTCCATGAACGGCTTTCAATGTGAGGTCATCAAAACCTCCACCCGTCGTGATCCCTGAAGCCTTCCTTGGTCTCACGTGGCTCCACCTTACCTTATGTTTGGCTCTTTTGAGGAGGACACTACCTTAAGAGCTTCCCAAAAGTAAAGAATCCCTAAACACAGATATCAAGCCTCTTTACAATAATGTTTTCAGGTCCGATTCATCTCCGAAGACGGTATCTGTATTCTTATAATCAAAGACGTAACCCGACATTTCGACGGAACCGTCACGTGCCAGGTTTGTTGCACTCTCTGATTGTCTATTACATGATCTATCTATGAACCTTGCTTTTCTTGCTCTCTCCTTGCTCTCCAATTTCTCTTAGCTCCCATTTTTAGCGAATTTTTTGAGTTTTTCTCATTCCGATGCTTTTTGGACTTTTGTTAACGCCGCTGATGTTGCTCTGCTGTTCTCTCAGCTCTCATAATTATTCTCTTATCCTCATCGGCGTTCTGCCCATCTTCTCTACGCAGCTGTTCTCATTCGTTACCATGGCCCAGCAATGCAACGGCACATTACACATGCCCCCGCACATTTATTTAAGCATTGTATTAATCGATAACGAAATGACAGGAATGTCAGAGAGCGAGGTTAACAGATCATAGGAACCGAATAGTCAACGAACCTAGAGATATAGGATGAGGGAGGAGTGGTGTACTGGAAGTGGCGCTGCTTATCACGCCCTCGGTGTGGGAATTAAATTCTGGAACGTGCGACATCCAGAAAAACCAAGCCTTGAATTGGGAGTGCTTTCTTTCTTTTACTCCATTTCCTTCTGCATTCCTCGCTTAATTGGTACCAAACTTGTCTGGGAGGATCAAAATCCCGACTCGTACTTTAACTTACCGGCGCAAGTCATTGTGTAGGCCAATTCCTTGATGAATCCAAAACACCATCACGATTTTGGATGGAAATCGAATGCCTGGCGCATCCCAGAAGGAACTGATCACACCGAATCCTTTTTCTTCACCTATTGAAGAGACATAATTTGATAGTCCTTTCCAGTCGTGCCGTTGCGCCTCGCATGGAGATCGATTGAGCATGAAAAAATGTTAGCGAAAAAAAACGGTCAAAAATATCAAGTTTGGCATTAGTTCCGGCAAAAACATCCATGGTTGTTTCTTTTCTCGCTGCACTGTCCCACTAGTTCTGAAAACAAGATGCTCGTCGAGTGCAGACCAAACACCACAAGTGACGACGGCCTCCAAGTAAATCTGGTTAGTAGTGGTTCATAGTGATAGCTGATAGTTGGTAAATGATAGTTGTAATTAGTGACAACTGATAGAATACAACTGCAACAGGCTAATCATTTCATTGGCAGAAAACATTTACATTTTGTGGAGGCCGTCGTCACTTGTGGTGTGTGGTCTGCACTCGACGCGCATCTGGTTTTCGGAAACAGAGGTATGTGATCGGTTTAATATTCACGAGTGCTTCCATAGCTCTTCATGCATCTTTTTGTCTCATGGACTGTGTCATATGAGAGCCGCAGCATTTGTATTGACATATCTCAAT